CTGATGGGGTCAGGGGCTTCTGGGGCATGCAGAAGAGAGTCCAGCAATCCTGGGAAGGTCAGGCTGAGCTAAGGAAGAGCCCCGGATAGAGAGAAGACTGCCCCCTTACCCTAGACATCTGGAATCCCCACAGTTCATCGTTGTGTCTGGTCATCCAGGAGATTTTCCTCGAAAGGGTGAGTCCCTACATGCCATCCAAGGGTAGTACTGGGGAGAGCAGTGAGCTATGGACACAGATGAGTGGGGAATTGGAAGGAATAGGAATCCACATGGAATGTAAGGAGGTGAGTCTTGCACATGTGGAGATAAAGCACCTACTTCATTTGGTCTGAAAAGTCTCACGCTGCCAGGATTTGAATCTCAGTGATAAAACTCTTGGCTACTTCCATGAGCAGGGGTCACTTCTGAAACTGTTTAAAGAGTGTTGCTGTAATACTGCTATATGAGCTATTAAGTGTTTATGGCATTGTATAAACCACACAAACAGTATAAATTTACTACCCCAATTAACTAAATTTTGTTTTAAATTTTCTTTCAATTTACCATTTTCAAGAGAGCCTTAGCTTTATCTCTTTCTTTCCAGAAAGTGGGTGAAAATATCTCACTATTTGAGACTAAATAAATCTCTCCATAGCCAAGCATACATCAGGGGGAACTGCATTCCCTTTGTCTTGGCCTGTTGAAACATTTCCACCTTTAACAAATTGCTGATTAAGCATTGCACACAGTATATTTCAGTATATTCGAGCTATGAATTGCCCAATACTTTATCAGAAAAGTAAATAGCACTGAGATTAAAAACTCCAAGGAGCTTGGTAAGCAGAGCTTTCCTTGTACAGGATCCCTTTGCTCATACACAGCATTGCTTATACAGCTCCGTGTACGATTCTGGGGTCTGCACATCTTGTCCTGGCTTTGAGGTCCTGGTGGTATCAGGGACCCAGTCCTTGCACTGGCCAGATTCATTAGCACTGGAAACAAGAGCATTGTCTTGTTTTCCTTCTCTTCAACCACATCTGAGTCCTCATTCAGGAGGACCCCGTAGAAGCTGTGTCTCAGTTTAGAGGCAAAGGAAACTGTGATGTCCCACACATGCCCACTGAAAACCCTGATCCAAGGTGAGGGGTATCTGTCTCAACTTTCTGAAGGCCCCTCCAGTCTCTCCTTAGGCCCTGGGGTCAGTCTCTGCTCCCAGCCTGCCGTAAGGAGGCCCTGCCTTGGCCTGCACTGGGAGAGGAGTTGCTTAGTTTCTTGGGTGGGCTTTAAGGAGACCAGCCCGGAGGCCGGGGTGGCACTCATCTAAGGGAACAAACAGTACCCAGAGTCACCCCGCAATGACCTTTGCTTGAGGAGGCGTGATACGAAAAGTCCCCATCTTCTCCCTGCTGGGCTTTATAATGCATTATCTTATTATTTCCAGATGTGTTTCCTAATAATAGTTGCTTGATCTAATGTAAGAGTGAGTCTGTATTCCCTGAACACACAATAGACTTGGAGAAATAATCTAAAAGTCAGTGGGAAAACAATATTTGGTATTAAGTACATTTTTTGCCTGAATGATTCTCAGTTGATAATCCACCCACGATGGCATGCATGTTGGAAAGGAACAGATAAAACTGTCCTCATTTTCAGATAACATAATGATCTATGTAGAAAAATCCCAAGGAATCTTTTTTAAAAGCTCCCAAACAAAAAAAAGAAAACCCCTCCTAGAATTAATAGTTTAGATAGGTCAGAGGAAACAAATTAACATTCAAAAATCAATTATAATTCTATATACTATTAATGACCATGTGGAAACCAAAATTAAAAATGTGATACCATTCATAGTGCCTCCACCCAAAAATAAAATATGTAGGCATAATTTTAATAAGGTACTTATAGGACTTATTTGCTGAAAACCACAAGATGCTGATGAAAGAAATTAAGGATGTAAATAAAAGGAAAAAGATATTGTGTTCGTGGATTGGAAGACTCAACCTATTAAAGATGCCAGTTCTCCTCAAACTGATCTATAGGTTTAATACAATTCCTATCAAAACCTCAGTAAAACTTTTTCAGATTTAGACAAGATTATTATAAAATTTATGCTGAAAGGCAAAGGATTTAGAACAGCTGAAACCATTTTTAAAGAGAAGAATAAACTGAGAGGCATCACTACCCAAGTGTAACATTTACGATATAGCTACAACAACCCAGATGGTGTGCATTAAGGAGGGACAGGTACGTAGATCAATGAAGCATAATAGAGAAGCCAGAAATAAATCCACACGAGTGCAGCCAACTGATCTGTGAAACAGGAACAAAGATATTCAATGCAGGAAGGATAATTTTTTTAACAGATAATGGGAGAACAATTGGACATCATTGGAGAAAAAAAAATTAACTTCGAGGTAAACCTCACACCTTACACAAAATTAACTCAAAAAAGACTGTAGATTTTAATGTGAAACTATAAAACATTTAGAAGAAAACACAGAAAGTCTTCAGGACCTAGAGAAAGGTAAGAGTTCTTAAAATGTGGCACTGAAAGCACAATCTATAAAGGAAAAAGTGGGTAAGTTTTATTTCATCAAAATTAGAATCTTTTATTCTGTGAAAGACCCTGTAAAGAGGATGAAAAGACATACTCTGGACTAGTAGGAAATATTGGCAAATCACATATGTGGCGAAGGACTCGTATTTAGAATATATCAAGAATTCTGACAATTCACCAGTAGCCAGGGGTTAGGGATACGGTGTGTGACTATAAAGGGGAAGGACAAGGGGGATCTTTGTGGTGACAGAACAGTTCAGCATTTGATTGTGGTGGTTGTTACATGAATTTGTACATTTGATAAGACTGCTTAGACTCCTATGCAAAACAAGTGAGATCTGAGTAAAGTCTGTGCTTTGTACTAATGTCAGTTTCCTGGTTGTGATATGGATGTAGAGTTATGCAAGTATCACCATTGGAGGTAATGGGTAACGGGTACACAGGACATCTCTGTACTATTTTTTGCGACTTCTTTCTGGTTTATAATTATTTCTAATAAAAAGTCTTTAAAAAATGGTTGCCTGGATGGTCCTCACCTGTTGATTATCAACTAATGGTAAGTGCACCTTGACACTCTAGACAGCAGGTATTTATAGGTGGGGACTGAGGCTTATATCTCCTTGTGACTTCTAAACACTCACAGCAAACACATGTTCAATATGTTGTAAATGACAGCTGTCCTTGATCTCCTTTGGCTCCTTCCTTGCACTGGGATGTCTGCCCCTGTGCCTCCACCTACAACTGCCTGAAGGTTCCGTCAGCCAGGCCCTGATGAGCCCCACTTGTTCCAGATGCTTCCAATCCTGCCAGCAAGAGCAGACCCATCCAAATGAATATTCTATTCTATACCATTCTACCCCTTCCTAGGGAGTCTAAGTTCTTGGATACAGGGTCTCCTTCTGTCATGTGCCCCCCTCTATCTCCATCCCCTAGAATAGTGCCCATAGACACATGGTAGGGACTCAGAAAATATTTACAAACTGAGCGGTTGAGTATGCATTAAACAAATAAGAGAAGAGCAAAAATAATCTTGCATGCAAGTTAAAGAACAGGTCCACAGGTCTCTCTTCATAAGAAGGAGGACACAATCCTTATGGGTGTATGTCTTATATAAGGCCCCCCTCACCAACCTGCATGGGAAGCCCTGTGTGTAACAATTTCTCCTTCCTCAGAATTCCTGCACTGCAGAGAAGGGTCACTGTGTAATGCCCTCAGCTCAGTTCTTGTCAAAAGCATTTACTGAGCTAGACTATGCATCCGGCACTGTGCCATCAATGGGGTTCAGAGATGAGCAATGACTGTTTTCTGCCCTGAGGGAGCTCCCGGTGCAGATAGGGAAGACAAATAGGCAAGCAGATCATTCCAACAGGTGAGTTCACACCCTAGGGTAGTGAGCCTAGTGGAATCCCCATCTAGCCTGAGGGTGATGGGGAAGGCTCCCCCAGCTATCAGGCAGACGGGGAGATGGACAGATGGGCAGGTCATCAGTCCTGACAGGGTAGTCTCTGCCAGCCACTGTACACTCATCTCTGTGAGCCTTCTACCACCCTGAAAGGGAAGTTTCTTTTCACTAGCCTGAATCTGGGAGAACAAGGAGCATTAGGCATGTAAGAGAAAGGAACATGTGCTCCCAGGCCAAGGGAGCATCATGGGCAAAGGCAGGGAGGTGTACTCTACCAGGGGTATCTAGGGGCCACTAGCACAGAAACTTGACCAAGATGAAGGCAGGAAAGGAATCAGCACTTTACAGGAGCCATACCCTGACAGGCATTGTTCGCTGTGCTGATGAATGCCAAGGGCCTTCAGACTGGGCTCTGTGGAGACCTGGCATTTCCAGGGTTGGGCCATAGTTGCTGCAGATGTTTGGGTCAAATTTCGTTCAAAATGTTTTTAGAGAAGTTGTAGCAGATGCTGTTCGTGCCCTGCCCTACTTCCTGCTCCTCACATTTCACTGCACACCTGCACGCTTCAAGCTGCCAGCCCAGGCATTCCTTTGACTAAGAGCTTTCTCTGATGGCCAGCGTCCACCGTGCCTGGCCATGTGGCAGGTTGCCACACCCCACAGCCCTCAAACAATGCAGCTGGCTATAAACCCCAGCTCCATTTCCCCTCAGGAGAAATAACACTGAGCCAAGTGTTATTTGCTGGCTCCCAGAGTTCCCTGGTGGAACTAACTCTGGATGCCCACGGTGGAACTGACTTGGTGACCTTCTTTTCATTGGCTGCCTTCCCTCTCCAGGCTCACGCCCCCAGCCAACAATGGGAGTTTTTGGGGATCTTCCAGACAAACAGCTGCGTTTAAATCCTGCATGAAGTTATGTTTCTGGGGTAGCCCAGTGAACACACACACACCCCACAGAACATCTCTGGTAGGATTCAAAGAAACTGGTAACAATGAAGAAAAACACTGGTTGGGGATAAGGTGGAGGGAGATTTATTTTCCACCAAATTTCTTTTCCACATTTTAATGTTTGGGTTATGTCCATTGGTTTCTTATTTAGGAATAAAATACTTCTAAAAAAATCTATTCAAAAAGATCATTAAAAAGATCGATTTTAATTTTATATCACATGTTTACATATTGGAGTCTACCAGCGCATCAATTCATGCCATCAGGCGAATGCTCTTTGATACAGTCAGAATTGATCTTTTCTGCTAATTTTATTCATGATTTTGACTATATTAATTAAGTTGTCACTGAGTAGAAAGACTGTAGCTGTGTCTGGGTGATTTCTGAACATCAGCCTGTGCGTGTCCTCCCATGTCAGTTAGTGTACACACACTGCTATGGAAAACTAAGCAAATGCATGAGGACAAAGCCTGGGTGATCACGTTCACTCCCTTCTGCGTAACGGTTAGCTGTGTGGTCAGGATGATACTGCATGAGCACCTGTCCTAAGCTTGCGCTACTTTCGATGTAATTTTTTACATTTAACATAGCAATAAAATTGGTTAGTTATTAGTGATTCAACATTAGGCCCCAAATTTCCTCCTACTCCGCATGGAAGATCTTGCAACAGATTAACTGAAAGCACCCTGAGACTGGAAAGTAAGCTGTGTAAAAATAAAAAATAAAGCTGTTGCTAGTTTTATTACGTACCTCTGTGAATCCGACTTTCTCAGCACTGGGTGACATAAACAAAGGCAGAAATAAATCAAACACCGAGACCAGTCTAAAACTGCATGTCCATGACCAGGAACATTAAATGTTTATGCCTTTTCAAAGTAGCTTCATATTCAGGGTTGCTGGCTTTATCACAAGCAAATATTATAAATATATGCCTGTGAAGTACACGTCTGTTGTGAAAGAACTTTTCATCTGTTTCTTTTATCAGTGTTCAATGTCATATTTTATTTGAACAAAAAAAGTTGTGTTTCCAAATGTTGGGACCTCTGATGTGAATATCCGTGGCGGGGCAGGCTCCTTGGAGGCCGGTGCTGTGGCCAGCGGTGTGTGTTTCAGGCAGGCCACACTGATGGTCACGTGGAGGAGGGATGGTAGGGAGTGAGGCTGCATCCTTCTGATTCTGGAAAACCTACAAGGCGGGAGCAGAAAGTCAGGCCAGAGACAAAGATTTGGTATTGAAGCTTGATAGGAGGTGGTTGATGTCTTGGAAGGTATAAAGTCCAGGGAAAACATATAAAATAAATAGAGAAGTAGGTGACAAGGATAGCCTATGAAGGGAAGCCAGGCCATCAGCCACTTTTCCTACAGGCCTAAGTGCCAACTCCATAACTTGACCCAAAACTCAAGGAGTCAGACTTCAAATTCAACTTCCTTGAATCCCCCACAGGGCTCAAAAGAAAACTGGACCTATGGCAGCTGCACTGGGAATGCTTCTTGGTTGACTTACTTAGGTTAGAAGGCAAGGATTGTATTATAAGGAGGATCCCACTTATATTTACCAAAATGCCCATATTCTATCCAAACTTGCTTGAATGTCACCACCTAGACAGAGATAGCAGCTGGCAACTTTCTTTTTTAATTATGATCTTCTTAAACTGGAAAAAGGGCATACCCAGGCTACTTCTAAGTGGCATCTTTTCTTAGTAATAAGAGAGAACGAGATAAAAAGAGGGAGGGTGGGAAAGAGGAAGGAAGGAAAGTGGGAGGGGTGAAGGAAGAAGGGTTTCCAGGCCCCTCAGCAGCCCCCTCCCCTAAGGAACCTCATGGCTGCTCCTCTACAGCTTGGTTTTTCCCCCACTGCAAGGAGTTAATAACCAGACCCTGCATAGTTCCTTTTCTTCTCTCTCTCTACCGGTTTCACTCCCCCCAACCCTTGCAGGTTTCCAGAGCAGAGCGGGGACTCCCTGGGTGGAGAGAGTGCCAGCACCCCTCTTCCCACGGCCCAGGCCCTCCCAGCTGCTCCCCGCCGGGGGCACAGTTAGGGTGTCTGGAGGAGGACCCAGCCCCTTTCAGGATGACTGTGTGTCTTGCCCTGCTGGTTTATTTTACTGGATGGGAACAGAACCACCCAAACCAGAGAAACGTCCTAGGCAGAGCCATCCCTGTCCTCTTCCTCCCAGGAGGGACTTCCAGCCAATCTCACTGTCGGCATCATCCCTGCGGCTGGACGCTGAGCCTGCTGCCAGGCTGCCACACGCTGGGCTCCCTCAGCTCCTCGCTCTGTTCTCATTCATATCCATTCAAACTCTGGTTGAGTTTGGAACAGGAAAGAAGTCAGAGAAAGGCAGGGCTGTCGGGAGGGAGACTTGGGGTGAGTGGGGCCCTGGGGACAATCCCAGGCATGGCTCTCAGGTCTGCTGTTCCACTGCTAGGAAGCTCAGGAAGCTAAGCATCAGGGACCATTCTTGCATTTCCAAAACCCTTTGCTTAATTTCATATTTCTAATTTCCTACATTTTTCCTTAAAGAAGGCATCTGCATAAAGCCGTCAAGGATCCCCAAACCAAAGCTAGCCACCAACTAGTTTGGAGCCGCCGCTCTCCTCCCACTGCCACCTGTCAGGATTGTTCTCCATACCCGGGCTGCTAGTTGCTCCAGTTACTACTTCCCTGACTCACTGGTGTCCAGCCACTGTCTCCTTGTTCCTCGAATGTACACCAGGCAGTGGGCAAGATGTCAGGGCCTCTGAACAGTGGCCCCCCTGCCTCATGTTCCTCTCCTGGACACTCACCTCCTTTGTGTCACCTCAGTGGTACCCTCTCCATCAGCCTGTCCTGAGTACCCTAGTTAAGGTGGAGCCCCATGCTCCCCCTACCCTGCACTCACTTCTACTCTCCTGCCCTGCTAATTTCCATTGTCATTTATCACCTGCTAACATACTTCATAATCTAGTTATTGATTTCTTTTCTGCCTCCCTCCCCCACTAGAATGTAAGTTCCAAGAAGGAAGAGAAATTCAAATTTTGTTTTGTTCACTGACATATTCCTAGCACCTAGTACATAGTACACTGTAGTTCGTTAATATTTGTCTGATAATTCATGATGTTGCAGAGCCTGAGGCAAGGATCCTGTCTGCTACAGTTTGGGGACAGCCCTGGCCAATGAGCACCCAAAGGAAAGAAGGGAGATTTGCTTTTCAGAGGAGACTTGGCTTCGTAGGCTGGGCCAGAGCTCCGGATCATGGACTGAGGCCACCAGCACTGTACATCCTGGCCCTACCTCCCTGCCTCCCTGCCTCGGGATGCGTCACCTGGCCCCGCGACAGTGCTACCACTTGCTGGGAACACAGAGGCTGGGAGGAGAGAGGGACTGGAGCCTGCTCGGGTGGGGTCTGTCTCAACGGTGCTGGGGACTTCTCATGAGTGTGCCCTTCCATAGAAAAGTGTAGCCAGTTACTAATATGGCAAAGAGCAGAGATGTTTACACAGAACTGGTGCTAATTTCCTGCCTTTGCACATGTAGCAGACACCTGCTGGTCTACCCCAGGGACGCAGTGGTGGAGCTCCCCAGTATGAGGGCCTGTGTCATGTTAGCCCCACAGGACACATCTGACTGGTATTTTATCCTGGCGCCGGGAAGAGGGTGTGGGTGACACCAAGGTGTCCTCAGGGCGCCTCTTCCTGGAGCTGGTGATCCAGTCAGCCAGTGGGGACCCCCTCCCCTGCAGACAATGCCGATGACATCACGACAGTCCTGGGCTTTATATAGCGGTTTGGAGTTGCCAAAAGTCTTTGTCATACCTTCTTTTATTTTATAGTCATCCAAACCTGTAAGAAAGACAGATCAGGAAATATTATCCTGTTTTCCACAGGAAGAATGTGAGGCTGAGTGGTCAAGTGATGCACAGAGTCCTGGAGCCAGCACACTAAGGCCGGTGTGGCTTCTGCAACTGCTGCTAGACCCTGAAGCCCAGTGTCTAGACGCCCCAGGTTCAACACCTGCAGCTCCAGCTATTTCCTGGAGCCCCCCGGATGCAGTGGCTTATCCCTGTGCAGTGGCTGGACTTGAATCCCATGGTGAGGCTGGTGAGAGGGATGAGCTGGGCAGCTGGCGGCAGAGTGGCATCGGCCTCTCCTTGCTCACAGCGCACTCACCTTACCTTTCTCTAATCATGGCCACAGATGTTGTGACTCTCGTGCGGCCACTACAGAACAAGAATGGCAACAACACTTGTTTCTTTGTGAAAAATGGCCACTAACTGAGAATTGATAAAAACTGAAGAGGCAATGCTGGGTGAATTTCTGGTCAGGAGGAGCAGTTGTTGATGGAAGCGGCATTTGCAGCTGACTTCTCTTATGTGCTCACCAGACTTCATATTTGTGCTTTACCATTATCCCACTTATGCCTCCCAACCATTCTATGTCATAGGTTAGATTCTTACTCCCATTTAACAGATGGAAAACTGAGGTGTCAAGTTCAATTTATTGTCTAAAGTCTTACAGCAGGTAAATGATGGAGCCCAGACTTAGATTTTGAATCTGTATTGCAAAGTTCATGTTCTAAAACTCTGCATTGTATTGCCCTTTCATGCAAATGCAGTCTAGCAGCCTGTGTGGAATCCTACACAATTTGGACCTTACCTGCAGACTGAGAAAGGTCTCAGAATGTGTCCTGTCTCTTCCTTTAATTCATTCTCTGTCTCTCTGTCCCTCTCCCTTCCTCCCCATTCCCTCTCCCCACTACTGCCCTTCCTATCACAGGGCCTTCCTCTCTTACCTTCTCTTTCTTGGACAGGCCTGGAAACTCAATATTCTTCTCTCTTGATCATGCAGAACAATCCATTCATCAAATGGTTTTGGGTGACTACTTTGTGCCAAGCTCTGCTCTGGGAGGTGGCAGTGACCAAGACAGTCATGAATCTCTCATTTCATGATGTGATCATGCTAATGGAGAGACAAACAGAAAACAAATACACATGGTAAAGGAGGTAAGATGAGGCTGTGAGGGAAGCATGGTGAGGGGGGTGGGATGGGGGTAGGGCTGCTATTTGAGAGGTGGGGTCAGGGAAGCCCTTCCTGAAGAAGAGGCATTTGGGCAGAGAGCGGAGTCCAGGGAGGAGAGAGTCATGCACCGTCAGGGGAAACACCCCCAGTGAAGGGGATGAGCTTGGCACTGTCAACAGATTCAGCAAACACACACACATACACATGCACAAAAGAAAGAAAGAAAAATTGAATACCCTATTAAATGTAAAATTCAGATAAATGAAATAATTTGTGACATACTTATACTATCAAAATTATTCATTGTTTATCTTAAATTTAAATTTAACTGAGAACCCTGTATTTTATCTGGCAACCCTAGGTTTGTGTGTTTAAGGAGCAGCAAGGAGACCAATGTGGTCAGAGTGGAGGGAGCAAGGATGTGGAGGGAGATGAAGAGGGAGAAACCTGCAGAGGGACCGTGGTTGACATCTCAAACCCAGTGAAGCCATCCAGATATGCCACCAGTTCTTCTAGTGGAATTGTTCCCCAGATGCTCAGAGATGTGTACCAGCAGCAATGAAAGAGGGGCTAGGAGAGAACACATCACTGGGGCAGTGTACGTAAATCTGAGTCAAAGACGTCTGTGTCTGCAGCATTTTTTTTCTAAAGAAGGTGAAGATCTAGGAAACCCCTGGCACCAACTTGACCTTGGGTTATTCACTCATCAGAGAAGCTAGAGCCTAGGCAGATTAACTGACAGAGGCTGTGTGGGGTGTGAATGTGGAACCTAGAGGTTAAGTTAAAAAAAGGTGTTGGGACCTCCCCGTCTGCTCTCAGGATGGGGCAGGGCGGGGAGGTGGACGCAGAGACGGGCAAGGTCTTTGGGCTCCAGGGTTCCTGGCAGCTGTGACCAGCACAGAGAGTCAAGCCTTTGCCCTTGGCCAGGGCAGTTTACTTGGGTATCTGAGTTGGAAGGAAACCTTGGTAACCGTTCTGAGCTGTAAGTGTTGTGGTTGAGACAGCAAACACCCTTTGAGATAAAATGTAAGTAATCTTACAGGTGTCCTCCTGGCTGACTTTAGGATCTAGAGAAAAGCAAGATAAACCAGAGTAGATATTTCAGGGAAACTCCACGATAACCCCAACACCTACTTCCCAGCTTGCCATGAGGATTAAATGAGGTAATGAATGTACAGCAACATACTTATTACATATTATATTAAATGTCCAATGTCCTTTTTCCATTCTAGCTCCACTTCCTAAGTCCCGGTACCTCGATGGGCCTTGAAGTCCTCACAAAAAAAAAAAAAAAAGAAAAGAAACTGTAAGGTCAGATCCCAGGCAATCTTAAACGCCCGCACTGTAAGTAGATCTCTTCTCTTTCCTATAAATAGTGCCCCATGAGATTAAAGTGCCTGGCACAGAGCAGCTGCCCAATACATGTTGCTAAATGTATAGCAGGGAAATAAATGACCTCAGTCTTAGGTTCTCCAGTAGTTAGATTTCCCACATTCAAACCAATGGAAAGAGAAGGAGGACTGCCTGAGTGGGGATACAGAGAATTAGGATCAAGCTGTTCCCCGCCCTTCCCAGTTCAGAGACATTGCTTCATCCCCCACTGAAATGCAGGCCAGGGAAGCAGCCAGTGCCAGGGGCAGTAGTTGCCGTATAAGGATGTTCGCAGCCCGCGCCAGGTGTGTCATCCCCAAGGCCAAGAGGAAGCAGTGACGGCCCCAGTGAGTCAAGGCCTGGGTGAGCGGAGCAGCTCAGAAAGCCACGTGGGTGGCAAGTGAGAGTTCTCTCACGTTCCTCACCCCTTACAAATCCGCATATGTTTTAAATCATTATCTCATTTACCTTTGCAGTTGGGACAACAGAAAAGGCTTTTCGAGTCAAAGAAGAAAGCACTCATACTTCAGCAGCTAAGGGAAGTCTGTATCTGGGGTGTGGGGACACGATGAAATGGAGAAAATGTAGGTCTATGGCAAGATCCCCTTAGAATTAACACGTGGCAGCTCCCCCAAGACAGGGGAGCACCCACAGAGCCGGGAAGCTGGCCTCAACCCCGGGACAGCTGCTGGTCACCCGACAAAGACATGCCCTGGACGGGCAGGGAGTCTTGGAAGACAAGGGCCTTTTGAAATACATTAAGACAAAGGAGGGTTAGTAGGCCTGACCAGAGGCACAGAGTTGTAAGGAGATTAGGCTTTGAAATCACCCAGATCTGGGTTTGAATCTAACTTTACCACTTTAGCTGGGTGAACCTGAGCAAGTTAGTTAATCTTTGTAAGACTTGCCTACCCCTGGTGTAAAGTATTTGTTCATTTAACGAATATCCACAGCACTCCAGTGCTTCACTCACATTAACTCCTCAACGTTTCACAACCAACCTATGAAGTAGATCCTATCATCTTCCCCATTTTACAGGCGAGGCAAGTAACTTTCCCCAGTCCCACAGCTGGTAGCTGGCAGAGCTGAAACTGCCCCTCCAGCTAGTCAGTGTCCAGGACCAGTGCCCTGGAGCTAAGCTATGCGTCTGAGAGTTTATAATTGTGCCCACTGCGCCTGACGGGCTTCTGGAGGGCTGTGTGGACCGGGGCTGTAACAGCTCCTACTGCAGGGCCTGCGGGTGGTAAATGCCCTGTGGATGTGATTTGTGATTACCCATAACTGTCTAAGGGGTGGGAGATCACCCAGCAGCAGACCTTGAGAGGAGGACTCCAGTGCAGGTGACTCAGCAAGGCCACTGGGAGAGAGCGGCCTGCGGGTGGGGGAGGCAGGCCAGGGAGCAGGAGGAAGCCGAGGCTATGGCATCCAGGCACAGTCTCACAAGGGAGAGCCTTGTGGGTTTGTCTCCACTGAGGCAGGGGGCTGCACTTGGTGCTCACAAACTCTGTCAGTCTCCGGCCAAGACGTGCCCTGAGGAAATGGGAACCGCAGGCACCTGTGGGCTCTGCACCCACGGCAGAGCAGTCTGGTCCCCCCATGGCGGGCTTCCAAAGGGAGTCACTGGTAGGGGCTGTTGGAAGAAAAGCACAAGAAGGCAGCTTCCCCCACCACTGCGCTGCGCCCTAGGCGGGAAACGCTCTTCATCATCTCTGCCTCTGCCTCCCTTTCCAGAGGCCCCAGCTCCCAGCCAGCACTTTTCCTGGTTCGGGGGGCTTGCTTGCTGAGGTGACACAGACTTTTCTCCCTGGCTACCATGCCCTTATCAGGTTATGGTTGGTATAACTGCCTACCTACAGCTAGAACTGGACACCAAACCTGTCCCAGTGGGTCCCCTGAGATCCCAACCTACTCCTCCCCATCCCCATGGTGCAGCAGAAATCCTACCTCTTCATGATGATCAGAGTCAATTTCTCTGCCATGTTGGGGATATACATTGTCCCTGTTTCTGTCACTGTGGCAACTCCATTCATTGCACCAGCACTGGGGTGACTGAGAGCAGCTGTTTGATACCTACGAGTTAAGTCAGTCTGTTCACCTGGATGTTGAGTCCCTGATTCTGTAGTGGATTCTCTGGTCAGCATTCTTGTATGATATGACAATCCCTACACTTTGGGCCTTCTCCCATAACACCTTATCCCCAGTCTTTCAATCTTGCTCCTCTGGACCCCTGTCCAGGCAGCTAACCCACCTGCCGCAGCTGAGGATTCACACTGGAGTCTGACCTAAAGCCATTTCTGTCGTTTCACAAACAGACCAGGTACACTGCCTGAAGCTCTGCCCACTGGGAAGATTTTCTCCTGCCCTTCTCTTTTCAGAGTGCCCTGATGGAGTTGTAAGGCAGCACAGACGATTCTCAGCTCACACCAGTATACCTGGTCAGTCCCTCCACGAACTGGCCTGGGTCCCTTCCTCACCTGCCAGCTAACCACAGGAGACCCCTGGCTCCAGTTGTGAGCTAGGGAGAGGTGCCAGTTCAACAGAAGTAGGTGATATGGGAGTGAGGTCAGCTCTATCAGTTAGCTTACTCATGCTCCCTGGACCTGCTCAGACCCATGGATGTGCCCTGGTCACTATAAGACGGGCACTGCTGGGCCTCTTCAACCCTGTGACTTTGTGGGACTGACGGCACTCAGGCCATAATAGGTAGTTTTGCATGCATAAATACCTGAAGGCTTCTGGCAAGATGTTCAGTCTCTTGTGTTCAGTAACCTGCCAGAGCTGCCTTCCAAAAAGTACATTGTCTCTTGTTGCAGAGGACATGTCCTTGCTCCAGAACTGAAGAGCTCTTCTATGGTAATGCGCCAGATACACCATGTGGTGCTTTCACTTCTCACAGATACCCTCAGTGGACTTAGCCCAGACCGCGGAGCCCGAGTGGCAGGACTGCTTGTACCACAGCCTGGACCTGCTGCAGAGCCCTCTCTTGCCCTGGGACCAAATCAAAATTGCCAACCATTTGAGTCCTCTAATAAATGGGATGGAGCAGTTCTCCCAAGTCCCAGCTCTCAGCTGGATGTCTAGAGTTGAGAGCCATCAGCCTGTTGCTAAACATTAAAATCTTGGAAATGAAATGTGTTACCCTTTGCAGTGCTAGAATGAGCAAGAGCTAGCCCTGAACACTGAGGAAAACCAGCAGAGGAAGAGAGAGGCTGTGAGACCAAGAATCTGGGACAGCTGCTGCCCCTCCACAGGCTCTGAGGTCACAGAAGTGAGTCAAACCAATACAAGATTCACTCTTCAGCTCACTTAGTGAACCCAAGATCAACACTTTAAAATATTCTCTCTCTAGTTGGCAGTGCTGGTTTGAGCTTGCTAGAGCAGGGAAGCCAATAGTTCTATGCCCTGTGTCAGGGCCCCAACCCACTTAATTCGTGTTTCTGCTCAAAACAAGTTTATGGTCGAAGAAACCAGCCCCAGTGTGTGTGGAGTGTCCATCCCCAGGGTTATTCAGGGACTTCCGCTCAATCCCAACTGGCCCCCTATTTCCCTGGGCTTTGCTTCCTCACCTA